GGAGAGCATCACAGCCACTAGCTGTGGCGGCCGGGACTGCAGCCGCCTGTCAGAGCCCACGCTGGGCCGCGTCCCCCCAGCTTCCGACTGGCTGGGCCTGTGACCCTCCTCGCAGACCACCCTTGGGCCACCGTGGCTGAGAGCTAGAGGTACCTGGGCATTTACGCCCCCCGGCGCAGCCCGGGCGCCCTGCCACCAGGAGAGCGGGCGACACCCCGGAGCTCCCAGGACCAGGCGGAGGCGGGACCTCCCCCAGGTGGCACCTCCTTTGGCTCCTTCCTTGCCCCTGTCCTGCTGCCCTCGCTCCCTCACAGGTGTCCCCAGGAATCGCCTCCCTGATGAACCCTGGTCCCCGGTCAGCCTCTGGGGAGCTCAGCCATCAAGGAAGGCTTCCTGCAGGCAGCTTGGGGGGCTCTGACGGCGCAGAGGGGACAAAGAGAGGGACAAAGGGAGATGCCAGCAGGCAGGACGCAGGTGCCAACACTCGTGGGTGGGTAGCGTTTAAGAACTAGAAGGAGCCGGCAGGAGCCGGTGTGGCCGAGTCTGGGGGCATCCGGGGTGAACGTGGGCTGGGGCCTGTGGGTCAGTGGGGCCATGCTCCACAGGACACCGAGTCCAGCTGAAGGAATTTGCTTTCGTAAGAGCAATGGAAGCCTCAGAAGCAGGAATGGGACACGATCAGGTTTGAAAAGAACAGCACGGCGAGGAGCCGGCGGGGGAGGCAAGGCGGAGGCCAGCTGGGAGTTGCTGCTGGGGTCCAGGTGGTGCAGATTTTCATAAAGGTGGATTTTGTGATACACGGCTCGTGAAATGGCCACATGAGAATTTTTCTAGTGAGACAAGAAACCTTGTCATTGTTGTGACAAGTGCAATGAAGAAGAAACCTCTTTCAGGGTTTAAAACCTTTATTCTTTCAGAGAATTCAAAAAGATACACGGATGAACTCTGACAACACGTGGATTTAAAATTCTAATAAAAAATATTTTAACAGGAAGGAGAAAGCTTATACCTACTTTAGCCATATGTACATATTTATTCAAATATAAAGATATAAATGTGTTCTTCTGAAATATTCTAAAAATATAACCTAAAAAGGAAAACCTTTATCCAATATACAGAAATATATAGTACACCATTAGGAAAAGTGGTAGTAAAAATATGTGTAAGTAAACCATATGTAAACACAAGTTTTAAGGAACGTTTTATAAGTATTACAGAAATCCCTATGCATTTTCCATTTATGAAATCATACGGTCCCAAGCAGTTCAAACCTCATAAGGTGGGTCATACAGGGGTTGCTGGAAGTTAAGTTTACAGTTGCGAGTATGCCAAACACAGAGTTTATTCTTGTATTATTATTTATTATTTATTTGAGCAACTGCAAACCTACTTTTGCACCCCCCCCATATAGTTAATCTACAATGTATATACACTTTGCTACTGTCCCATTCTTTGGATGGGGGAATTAAGGCATGGGAAGTCACTAAATATTTTTAAGCTGCGACTGAACAATAACATTGCCCCAAACCACAGATCCTAAATGAAATACCATATATTTTTTAAAAATGACTTAAGCAAATTGCCATTAAAACACACATGTACACATACAATTTAAACTGTTGATCCAATTCCTTAATGCCACAGAGGAAATACACTAACTAACTAAAGAACTTAAGGACCCTTTAACTAAATGATGCCACGGTAAATCATTAAGGCATGTTCTTAGAGCAGAGGTTTGACTTCGTTAAAGTACTCCTTAAACAGAGGTGTCTCTCATTTCCCAATGATCTTCCTATTTCAAAGTGCAGTGGCACAGGGGCCTGGTAACTTTAATCAACATTTGGCTTTGCTGACGTTATTAAGCAAATGTTTTCCCCAATATTACATTCAGCAGAGTTACAGTAAATGGACCGTCAATGTTACCCCAGGAGACATGGTAGGTCTTTCATTGTGATTCTGTAAACTCTCTGGAGCGGTGAGATTCAAGCGGAGAGTTTGGCAGGGCAGGGACAGCACTTAGTGACTTGTGCCTGACTAACTGCCAAGGGCCCGGCCTTTCGGTCGTGCCGTGGAAAATGCAGGAGGAAGCAAAGTCCTGCAACTCTGTGTAAGCCAGTAGATACCTGTGTCACAGCCCTCACTCACTTCCCTGAGGTGGCTCCTATCTGAAAAACCCTTGTCAGTGGACAGTGCGGCTTCCAGAACAATCGTGCAGAAGAAAGATGAACACTGTGCCGAACGGTCTCCGTGCGCGGTTTCACGCTTGGCTTTTGAAGTTTGCTTTTGAGTCAGGCAGAAGCCACAGCACCATTCTTGCAGGAGAGTAAAAATCACTGTTCCGGGTCTTGGTGAAAAAAAAATCTGGAAAACAAAGTATATTCCAATTATATAGCAAAGAAGTGTAATTAAATGAAGGATTATCAGCAAAATATAAATGCTAAAACCAGAAATTGCCACGGGCCCTTGCCAAAGGTGTGGCTCGCCATGGTAAACATGCCTCCTATCTTTGCTGAGCCCTGGGAGTTTCCAAATTCAGCTGGAATTCCTTCATTATGTGACTTGATTCAGTGCTGCTGAGGTGCTTAGCACTGGGCATGTTGCCCCCTGGGACCAGACACCGGGGAGGATTCACTAAGGCCTCATTCAGAAATTTCTCCGGTAACTGCACATTTCCTTAAATAGTCACCTATCAGCAATTACCCCTTAGCTTGCAGTTAGCAAAGAGCAACTAGTTGTAGGCAAATTTTAGGAGATTCTTTTGAAAACGTAGAATGATTGAAATTGAGTTTGAGCACTGACATGGAATTCTGTAAAGATGTATGTTGGAAATGTCCTATTTCTACAAAAGATGATATTAGAGATTTCTCAGGCTTTTTTCTACTTCAATATTTAATAGTGAGTGCAGGAAAAGCATTACATTGTATTTAACACAGGCTGGTACATACATATGCTTATATGCCAGAGGTCTGTCAAGCAAGGCCCTGTGGCCAAATAGGGCTCACCATCTGTTTTTATAAAGTTTTATTGGAATGCAGCCTGGAGAGGTACTCAGCTCGCTCTGGGCAGCTATGGAGATGGAGCAAGAGGTCACAAACCCAGAAACGCAGATGACTCTAGAAGCCAGGAACAGCTCTCAGCTGACAGCAAGAAGTGGTGGACCCCAAACTTATAACTACAAGAAACCAAATTCTGCCAACAACCCAAGTAGCAAGGAGATGGATCCTCTCTGAGAGCCTCCAGAAAGAAATGCAGCCCTGCCAACACCGTGATTTTTAGCCTGGTTAGAGCTGTGTTGGACCTCTGACTTACAGAACTGTAGCATGACAAATTTCTGTTATTTAACACAAGTTTTATGAATTGGTTACAGCAGCAATAGAAAACTAATATAACAGTCACATCTACTTACTGATGAGTTGCTGGAGGCTGCTTTCAAGCTACAAGGCAGAGTTAAATGTACGTGAGACAGACCTTATGGCCTGAAAAACCTAAAATATTCGCACACCGGCCCTTTAGAAAAAAAGCGTGTCCACCTGTGATATTGACATGCAGCAGGTTGCATTTATTGAGCACTTCGAGGATGCCAGACTTGGCTAATCACTTAGTATTCATATCAACTTCTGGATAGACACTACTTTGGTCCCCATTTTGCAAATTAAAAAAAAAAAAAAAAAAAAGAGGGCAGATTCTCAGGGTCATCCAGAGAATCGGTGGTGAGCAGGGGTTCAAGCCCGGGCCTGGCTGACTTCTGGGCTGGGCTCACCCCTTGTCGAGCACAGCACCCCAGACGCTCACCTGAGGCCTCTTATCGCTGCCGGAAGGCGACGGGGAGCTCCCGGCTGGGCACCAGGATGCCTAAGTGCAGCATGTCCACGGGCTCATGGTCTGTGGCCACGATGTCGTATTTGCGAACGATCTGGAACACAGGTGCACAAGAAAGCAGGATTAGCCCTCTTCTATGCCTGTGGAGTAGCAGAGAACATAACTGTGGAAAGCGGTCAGGGTTTTACCCAGCAAAGGGCCAAGTGGAGCTGGAGCTCAGCTAACCGGCGACCGATGCACATTCTCTTCCCGACGCCGAAAGGGAGGTGTGCGAAAGGGTTAATCTTCTTTTTCTCTTGAAGCCATCGTTCGGGTCTAAACTGATGGGGATCTTCAAAATTTTCTTCGTTGGACCCCAACACCTGGGTATTTAGCATCAACACTGTCTAAAAACACACAGAAACGAGTGGCATTTAAAATAAGCAGAAGACGACGTTTGAAGAGCGAAACCTACAAAAGTGATGACCTTAAAAATACGAAAGTCACCCACGAATTTATAATAATGCTGATTGCCAGCGTATGTGGAGGGCGTGAAATGTGCCAGGTGCTGAATAGGTGAAGAACTTTAAAATCTTGTGTCACATTCTCACAACTCCCCATGTGGTAGATTTTATTACCACCCCCATTTTACAGATGAGAAAGCTGAGGCCCCCAGAGGTTACCTCACTCACTCAAGTGCCCCCTTAAATCCAGGCCTGTCTCCGTAGCTGTTATGCCTAACCCTACACGATGCAACCGCCTGCCGACCACGCACTACCATCTACACATCTGCAGAATGCATGTTTCCCCTGCAAACCTTTTTAGGGGAATCGGATGCATGTTTGGAAAGTGTGTCCCTTACAGCTCTGCAAGGTGCAAGACACACAGGTTCTACTTACTCCTTTGGGTAAAGCATATTCACCCAGAACCGTCGCCTTGTCGAGAGTTCTCGTCGTAAAGGGCACGCTGGGGGTGAGCCTGGAAAAGCAAAACCAAAGGTGTAGGGCAGGCGCGGGCCACGCTCTAGCTCAAGAGCTGGCGGGAACACAGTCTGCGTAAGCGAATGAAGGTTGCCCAAGGTCGTGACTCAAAAGCGGAACCTGATCACATTTCTCCATAAAGAGGTTCTGTCTCTTTCCTCCCAACATCTCTACCTCCTGTTTTCATTCCTTATTTTAGTGGGTTGGCAGCCCCCCCCCCCC